TCTGACTTTGGGACATATAGCAGAGATAGCTTTCTCTGTTTGTAAAACTGTTTATAGAAGTTTTTAGAAAACTCGTATTTTTATGAGGGAATTGGAAGCATTTGAAATATTATCTGTCCACTTTCATTTTAAGTGCATTACATTCTTTACGGGCAGGTATGAAATTAATTTTATTGCGATATAAAAGTATATATTGATAAGTTTAAATTATTCGAAATCTGTGTTTATTGGGAAATTTTATGAACGAATAATTTTGAAAATTCCCAATTACAAATTCGTAAAAATTTACTTGTTGAGCAAAAATCGCGTAATTTTCTTAAATTAATGTTCAACAATTATGTGAGCATAACCGTTGCGCAATTTGTTTGCAGAATTGTTAATATTTTTTAATTGCTTCGAAACGGTAGAAACTTAGTTAATTATACTGTCTTCTCACATAAGTGAGGAAATTCGATCAGATTGTATTTTTTTACAGTTATTGCGAATTTGTTGCTAAAAATTATTGAGCGAATTAATTCCACCTGTATACTCTAATTAAAGCCTTGTTATTCTTGAACCCTAAATCGACATTGGACTCAATTTGTTCCCATTATACCCACTTTGAATAAATAGAGCTCACACCAACACACACATGTAGACAAGACATATTGGGTAATTCGAAAGCACCGATTCAGTTGTGCTTTGTACTGTGACGGAACGATTTTTTTCGATACAAAAATCCTACGAAAACGGCCGTACATCGAGCGTAGCTAAACCCGCAGCGACTTCAATTACATAACAAAATTCGTAATTGTTCGCTAATTGTTCCTATGTTGAATTAATCGCGAGTTAATTATGTATATCGCGGAGAAATTCTGTATCTCAGCATGGAAAAAAACAACAAATGCAACAATAAGGATTGACAAACATAATTCTAATGAAGCAGTGCCTAAGGCAAACCTCACTGTTTCAAATAACTTCAATTTTACGATCAATTTTCGTCGATTTTCAAAATTACATCATTGCCTGTTATATAAATTTAAATTATCGATTTTATCGTCGCGATTGATTCCGTACATTTACACAAATTCGAGATTAAGTGGTTACCATTAAAAAGGGATTCAAAAATCGTGCACTTGTTCCACAGCTGTTTTTTATTCGAATTTACGATCACATTTGGTAAATTAATCTCCACGCGCTTGTGTAATTACGACTTTGAAATTAACATAAACGTATTAATTGATAATTATGTAAGGGAAACTTTTATTTGCATAAACTTATATTCTCATCTTTTTTCTACCACTTATACTTTTCTATTTTTTTGAATCTGCTAATAAGTTATGTTGGAAGGGGAACTAATATGTAAATTATAACCGATTATGCAGTATGAAATCTTTGTGACAAATTTAAATATGAGAAAATACGAATTAGTACAAAAAATAAAAGAGTTAATTACATAAAAAATGTACTTTTTCAAATCATTAATCTCTTTTGTATTTGTCAAATTATTTCTACTCTAATAACAAATACATTTTAAAGGCAGTATTTTAAACAATCTTTGTGCTAGTCGATATTTTTTTGTTTTTCGAGAAATGCACTTTACTTTCACATGTGCCTACAATCAAAAATTAATTACATGCATTAAGATAATCAGGCGAGACTGTTTAGGTTTATGCATTCGATGTTTCACAGTAGGTTTCACCGTGTACTGCAAAGGTTTATGGAATGCTTATATTGTTCAATGGAGCGTAGTTTTATTAAATTGTCGGCGTTTCGATTTAAATATTACATAAAGTAGCAAATTATGTATAGCCAGTTATCAGTTTTGCCACAGGGAGGAGTTTGTTTTTCTTTTTCGGAATGTACTTTTGCTTTAATTAGGTGTTACAGAACCTAAAAGTATTGTGTTTGTCCAACAATAGACTTCTCTACTTGCAAACCGAACAATAATAATTGTATTAAAAGGTGAGCAGTGTAGAAATAAGTCGATTTTGGTAGTACAATAACGAAAGTAATTTTCACTTTATGTTAACGCTAAGATTGTATAATGGTGACACCTAGAAAATATACACCATTATACTTACTTGTATAAGATATTCGCAAATAGAAGAAACGAACGATAATAATTATTAAAAGGATTGAAGATTACTGGTCTTGCAAATATGTCGAAATTGAAACGTCAAAATTAGAGAAAACACGACAGATGGCCGAAGAAAGTGTAATTTCGTTGAAACGACTCATAGACGAGATGAGGAGTGTTTACCGTAACGGTCGTATTCACGGTCATTGATTATAGTTTAGCGTAAAAAAACAAGTAAAAATTATAGTTAAAAGTTAGTTACACTAATGACAGAATCATGGACACTACAGAATACAATGCAATAGTATCTACTTTCAAATCATTTTCAGCCTGTACTAATTTTTTCTGACAGATTTCTTCGACTGACTATTTATTTGATTGAATACACCACTATAAATTTAACTGTTTTGACAGTTTCCGAGAATGATCCTCATGAAGATATTAGATTAGAGCTAGTGAAATAATACACGACTTATTTCCATGTAGAACAAACACTTTTCATGGAACAATTCCAATATAAATTACAAAACAGCATGTAAATTCAATATAAATGTTGCATGATTATCGGTAATTTCAATATGGCGAAACGCCTCTCGAGTTACTATTTTATTGATTCGATTTTACAGGAATAAATGAGCTAATAATATCCATGCAAGTATTGTAAGTACGTGTACTTTCTTAAAAAAAAACTTTTACTTTCAAGAGATACAGTTATCGTATGCATTAAGGCATTTCCTAGAATTAAAATTATCTCGTATGCCGAGAGGATAATTGTATTTCGAGTTTAATGTAGGTAAAGTTTTTGTTTCGATATTGTTGAGTGGGTTTAAAAAACAGATTAAAACATGTATAATTTGCTAAGTTCCTGCAACTAATTAGTTTGAGAATAAATTTAATGTTAACGATTCGAATTGACCTTAGTTAGGAAAAGGCCCAAACCCAAAAACTATTACTACAAGGTGAACTATTACTTCCTATGTGTGTGTGTGCAAAAATCTGCATTAATCGAGAGTTCATTAACTTAACAAAATAATTCGACCTCAAAAAACAAACACTATTTTTTTGTAGACATCAGGATTGATTTATCAAACGTAATTAAATTAGTTATGACATTCTTATTCAAATAGTTTAACATAGTATCAATTAAGAATTTTTTTATTCGGCCGTATAGTATCTGTGAAATTAATGAAACCGGTTCGTTACCGCTATTATTGCAATTTTAATTGATATTTAGCTCTTTTCGATTGGACCCGTTCGAGCGTAACGCATTGTAGTGTGCATTCGTGCTCCGTAATTTGTTAAAGTTATTCCAGACATAAATTGTTTGCTTGTAGTTATTTTGTTGCAACTTCGAGAACGAAAGCGTGAGTTAGGAGATTTGTTTAATGTTTTCATGTGTGAAAATCTATTATCAATTTATTACTAAAGAAAAAAGTGTGTAGGTTAACTTGCCATAAGAGTAGGTGTATAACTATTCGTTTTTTTGTATAATTTTTGAACGAATTTGTAAATTAAAAATGTAACAAAATTTACATTATTATTGTGCATAAACAAACAGACCATATCGAAACGTACGCAATAACAATAATAATAGCTCATTTTCTTATTGCTAATATATTATTGATATACGAGTACCTACCACACTTTTACGCATTTTTTTACAACATTAACACATACGTATTAAGACATCGAGTATAAAGACAGAGTTTCAATTAGACGGTTTTATTTTGCCATAAAAACTGTTATTGGGTCTTTAACATGTGAGATGTTTTGTAAGTATTTCATTTTTAGTCGAATTATTTGGGTCGAAACATTGCGAAAGGCAGTCGGATTTTTTAGTTTTCAAACCGTTTAAATGCTCAGCAACAGGTCACTCCGGTATCAAGGTTGGATTAAATGGTGAAAAGCGTGTTTTAAATTATACTAGTTGTCTTTATTTTACATGCACGTTTACTCGAAGAATGTTGTTTTAGTAAAATTAGATATAAAACAGTGATTTTAATTATGACTGTACCTACACAAAAACTCTCTCTTCAACTTCCTACTTTGCTGTTCTTTTCAATGTTTTCCCCTTTTTTCGTTGCTTAATGATCTTGCAAATTCTGAGACGGGCTTTCATCCTTTTAATAAAATTATTCCCCTTTCAACAAATTTAAATAAGTAAATTAATTTCTACTTCTGAGTTAAAAATTCCTAACTATATTAGTCAACTCTAAAAGGCAAATTGCTCAAATTTCGCGGACTCGGACATACCTTTGGAATGATTTAGCCGTAGAAAGTAAAATGGAAACGAAACAGAAGGCCAGATTAGGTCAAAGATCACATAATTGAAGTTTGTTGTTATAAACACTCGCGTGACGGTGATTAATAATTATAAATTGCTAATGGAGGCAGTAAGGTGTAAAATCAGATTAATATTGCAGATATTACAATATTATAAGTGCTGCTTATTGTATTTTAATTAATCATGTTGGTAATGTGAAGTAGAATATAATTTGAGAACGGTGTAGCTTCCACAATAAGTTGATAAGCAGATAATGACATAAAAACGAATTAAGTAAATTCGAATTTACTTTCGAAATAATACGTGTTTCGCTTTAATTTCCATTTATTCAGTAATTTTCACTTTCTTAAAGACAGACGAAGGATTTTCCTTGCATAACAAACCTACCGCAACGAATTTCCATTCGCATACAAATAAATAAACAAATAAATCATTGGATGTTTCGAAATCGTCTAATGAGCTAATCTCGATAACGACACCATAAAAAGGTTATATTACTTAGAACCATGCACATTGTTAGTATGCAACATATTGCATTTCCATTCGCACAAACTGAATAAAGAAACATCGTCGCATCTGTTTAAGTCACGTAATTTTAGTTCTTGTGCATTCGACATATTTTTTTTTTCTAGACACGTTTGTTTTTTGTAATTCCAGGCCGTAATACTAGCAATTTTGGCATACCTTGTAACGCTGGCGAAAGCGCAATATGGCTTCGGGGTGTTCGATCATTTCCGAAGTTTCGGGGGTGGACTGGGTGCATCCTTGCAATCCGCGAGGGATCCTAGACAGAACACTGGACCAGTGGTATTTCCACCAGCACCACCAGACAGTGGCGAAACCAGTGGTGTGGTCGTAGGTGCTTCCGGATACGGCTTCGTTCCACCACAAAGTAAACTTTTTCATTTCTTATCAACGAGCTTTTAATGTATTGCCTTCATTTGCAAAAGCTCCCCATACAGCGAATTTAACAGCTTTGAATCAGTTGGTATTTTTTTGTTTCAATAGGTATTTTATCATTAGAAGTTTCATATTTATACGATTTTTAACAACGAAGTAGTAGACACATAATTAATCATTAATTTAATATTTCATTAAGCAAATATGAGTAAAGTGCGTAAACGTTGTATTAATAATAGCTTCAGGAAAGTTTAAAGAAGATTACAGTAGATGCTACCTGAAGATTTTAATTATTACCAAAGTCGTTTGGAAACTTCGATAGGTAAATTATTAAGTATGTCGTGCCGCGGCGTTCCTCCTTGGGACCCGACCAGTCGACCGTAAATCGGGCTTATTAAAGCCCCCTTCGAAATTTCGGTCAAACTCGCCGACCCTCCTGTCGCCATTCGTATCCCTTCCGCGGTTAATCAAGCCCGCCCGACTCTGCCCTTAAATCCGCCTTTGCTTATCTCGCGCGTCGTTTGACCGCCTTCGAACAATGCCGCCGCCGCGACGCATTTACATCTTGCGTGCTGGCGGCGTCTTCCGCGGCTACGCTCGCGTCCCGCATTGTCCCGCTTTTTTGCATATAATCGGCAGGGTCGAGCGGATTAATTGGATCTCGAGTTGGACAATGGAAGATGTATGAGCTGAAGGGAAGACGAATCGCACTTCTCGAAAAGAATTACTGCCTAAGGAAACGGGAGATGTGGATTAATTCCAACTGTATCTTGCTTGTACTCTCGCGGGGTTTTGTTCTTGGGGCGCCGCGTTTCGATCGGTGTTGTGATTAAATCGAGCAGGTTTTTTTTTTTCAACCGTCTAGTCGATTTTCTTCCTGTTTATGGTTTACCACTGGCAAAAAACTCCGGTGTTGCTTAACAAGAATTTAGGTTCAGCGGCTAACCCTGTTTGCTCGAACGCCGTACCGTATCTTCAAGGTAAATTCAACCGTCCGAGCGGAAATTCTCTGTTCGATTCGTTTAAAGCGAGTAACGTGGGCGGTTTTTCTCTTCGCTGTGTTATTTATGCGGTTTTAGCTGCCAATTAACCTGACGTGCCTCTGAGCGAGTCACATCATAATGTACAAGAGCTGTCTTTTCGGGTACCAATCGATTAGGTTGGTTTCAGTGGCTAGTCATTGAGTTCCAATCATGTGTGACTTGGAAAACTGTCGATGTTGACTATTGTATAGAAGTAGTTAAAGCATTTAAAACCACCAAGAAGTATGCGTAAATAAGGATTGCAATTGATGAATAAGATAATAAAGAGCGCTTTTAGAAATTACGAGAAGACTTACTACCCGTTATTAACCGAGGAAGAGATTGAAAAGGAAGATATTTTAATTTTCCAGTTACCTTTAAACTTTCACATCTTTATTTTGCTGCTATTAAATCTCCAATCTTTGGCCTCAAGAACTTTGACTCTACCATTATTTTAGTAGTAACTCATTTAATATACCATTTTATTTCGTTATCATTAATTGGTTATCAACAAAACGCTTCATCCATTTTTATTCGTATACATTACACCATGTAGCATTGGATGAAGAGCTTGTTAGCGATAAATTTCATTTACGGAACTGACGCTTGCTGGAGGATTATATCGATTTTCCCATCGCTAAATTAATAACATCATCGACAGCGATCGCTTCTAAACTATCAACACACGTTCACGTTATTGAAAATTGAGATCTTTTTCAGGTCCTCGACGAAGGCGATAGTTTAAGTTTAGTCAAAAAAAATTGAGATGAGAGCGATGTAAGTACAGAAAAAATTTGTATGTAAAACGCGCTAACACGTAAACGGTGCTACAATTTTTATTTCCAACGATCGTAACGAATCCGGTGTAATATTAATGGCCGGTGTCGAATTGACCAATTATACAAAAAGGTGTTGTGATAGCATTAGAAAGTTAATTTATCAAGTAATTCACGCTCGGCGCTTTTACTCCGTAATTATTGTTTTTATCCGTGTTTTTAGAAGGATTTAGATGCAGATTATCGTATCGGACAATGTAAGAAAACTTAGATAAGAACGATAGTACGATAAACAGAGAGTAGAAAGTGAAAAAAATTAGGTACCTATCTAAGCTCCAAGTGAAAATGCTAATTACGGATACATGGATAAATCATTATCATCATTTACTTGTTACTCTTTTTCATTTTCAATTTCTTTTTCCAGTTATTTTATTCTTTAGATTCATTCTTTTCTTTACTCCCTAATCGAAATTCTGAGCTTAACCCTAACCAAAAAACGGCTCCGCTGTAATAATTCCATAGCCGATGCAAATCCGATATCAATTTTTTCTAATTTACCGAATACAATGCACTTTCTCGAAACGGTACCAGCTCGGTCGTATTCTCTTATTCGATCTCATTTTCCGACTTGACTATGAAGGCCGTCGAAACTGAAAGCAAGGTTATGGCCGAACGGCGAATCGCGCTCGTGCCTAGACTCACATATCGCGGATATAAAATATCAAATAGCGACGTCGAACTCCGAAGCGGATTTTGATTTTTTTTTTGGTTCGGTCTGATCGCTTTCCGGACGCCTTCGACATGATAATAAGTGAATAATACAGGTAGGTTTCGCAATTCGCAATGATTGCCCGAGAGGTAGCCGGAACAAATTATTAATGAAGTCGTTGCGCAAATTGAAGCAGCGGAAAAAATTCAAATGAGGAAAAATTCAAATGTGAGAATTGTATTTTTATTAATATAACATCAAACTCAATTTACCGAAACTGAAAATCTTGTAATTGCAAATTTACAAACAGCCACAAGTTAACTGGTTGTTATATAACTTTTTTTCAGACGGTTGAAAAGATAATTGCAATTATTAAAACATGATTAAGGTGGTATTTAACCTTCTGTGTTAAAAAGACGTTTAGATAAAATTCTTAACACCGCCTTCGGGGTCAATACAGAAGCCTGTTATTAACACCATTTACAAATTCGTTTCCATAATATTAAGGTTTTTAGTATTATATGAATATTTAATCGTTATCAATAATAATTTTAAAATCTAGTTTACAAAGTAATTCACATGTAAATCACTTCGATAATGTTGTGAACAAATTTTATTCCCAAAGCTGTTCAATCAACTCTTACATCACATATTATTTTTATATGGGATTAATTAATTATTTTTTTTCAGGGTCGCCTTACCAATCGTTCTTCTCTTTCTTCTAAAGAATACTTCTTGAACATCCCTTTGTTGTGCTGATTTAATTTTTATTCGGTGCGATGGTATTCATTTAAAAAGTGGATTAAATCCAGCTGAATAGATTTTAAAAGCAAAGTCAAATGAACATCTAGTTTGTATATTTTGTAAATATAGACTAAAAAAAGAATCTCTTTATATCATATACTTAATAATAAACGCTTCTTAAAATAATAAATTATGTCTAAAGTTAATTTCTGATTTTACTTTAAAATATTGGACATTTAGTTTGTATAATGTACATTTTAAGAAGCGTTGAATTAATTTAGTCAATTATATTATATATTCTTGTAAAATAATTATTGTATTTATTGCATTCGTCGACTTGTGCAATGTTTTATTTATTAAATATTTTGTTTTAACTCTTGTTTGATTTTTACTAATCAAAATGACTCATTTATTCATTCCAGTGCAGTTGGTGATATCATAAACTTAATTTTATATGAAAGGCAATTAAATTACTAATTAAACGCATTTTTAAAATCGAAAATGGTTGTTACGTAAACAGGCAGGGTTATATAGAGCGGGTTTAATATGTGACATTATCGAGCCGTGTTTAATTTAATAGGTGAATTAGCTGCGGTGTGCATTTGCGTCACAGATTATCAATTACATAATGACAAAAATCGATCCTAACGAATTGCTGTGATTTTAGAGCATAACCAAAAAAATGTAGATTTATCTATTTATGTCCTGAACTATTATAATAGGATATGCATGCTTGGTTACACCAATCTCTATTTTGCATATCACGTATGATCGGTTCAAGATTTATTTAGTACCTAATTGACCTCGATATGAAAATAATTTCAAACCCACAATTTGTTTATTTTGTAAAAAAATTAACAGTACTTTTTTGTTCTCGCAGAAAAAATATTCGATCTAGTGAAATTGCACTTGACTAAAGTATTTCATATAATAATAATGTTAGGTAATAACTCGGGGTTGGGTATGTTTAAAAAAACTATCGAAAATACGAGGTATGCGAAGTTTTGTAGTGGCTATAAACAAATCGTAGGAGGACAATCAAATACCGATATGGTCATAATTTTACCTTGCACTGTTTAAATAAGTTTAGATATCGATCGATACTTATAATTTATATTTGCAGCAGATATAACAACTACTTAAGTTGCAAAATAATAATACACACTATAATTAACTGTCCTTTCTAATGTTATTGATTTGATTCCATATCCCATTGTCTCTAAACCACCGGCTTTATTTGTTGCTAAACGCGCGGTCCTCTCCGTTCCGCTCGATTTCTCCTGCGATTTCTGCGATCCCGTCCCATCTTGGGGTCGGTTTGGTTTAACTTTTCTCATAGGAAACGAACTAAATCCACCAATTTCGTACCTACATCGTACAGCGATCCCAACGTATGCTCTCCTGCTACACGACAAGCAAATTTAAGCTCTGAACTATCGCGAACAAAATGAACTCTTTCTTCTAAAGGTTTACTTTACTTTTATTTCGTTTATGTAGAGGGATTTTTGAAATTTTGAAAATCGAGGACTATTTTTTTGGGAAATTTAACTAGCTAGGTATGTCGCAACTATGTTGCATCGATTTTAAAATCTATATTTTTGGAACTAAATTTTTCAAATAAGTACAAAGCATTTTCAAAATAACCATGCTTAAGTAAAGCAATCGCTTTAGACAATACATTAACACATACCCACCAATTGAGTAAAACGTGATAACTACCTATAAAGACTAAATTAATATTTTAACCAAAAATTAAACCACAATCATCACAGTTCTTGGACTAGTCTAATATAACCACTATGTCAACGCTTTGATTCGAGAAAAGTACACCAGCGTTCGAAACTTCAGTTCAGGATAGGTCGTGTTGGGTCAGAAAAGTTGAAAATCACCTAGAGATTAACAGGACAGCAGGAAAGGCGAGGAGCGGGCGAGCCGTCGCGTTTGTAAGTAAAATACAAGTACAGAGCACGGACGCAAATGATCGTCAGTGTTGGAGATACATACCCACGGGCAACGTAGCGCTTCCGACGTTCGAAAAGTTCAATTTCACTTGCCACGGAACAGGTTAGCAGGAAATCGTGGCATCTTCGATTGCGATACCTGCGGAATTAAATATTGAATGAATTATTTGCCAAAAACGGGAAAATTTAACGTTCATTATTGCGGTACCTATAGAAAATCAAAAACATTTCCTGGTTATTGCAGAAGGGTTTTGTTCTTATTTTAGTAGATATAATTAACTGTAATGTTTGGGTGAAAGTAATAGATGCGAAATAAAAGTAAAGATCCTATAAAAGTTGGAAAATATTCAGAACAGGAGGAGTTTCAGTCATAAAAATGTTATAAAGAAGAGTCTGGTTATGAAATAATCTTGGAGAAGTGGAGAAAATGTATTCACAAATGGGCGTTAGAGGGCTGTTGCTTGAAAAGAGAATTTAAGTGGATTTTGAAGGATTATTATAAATGCGGATAATGCAACCATACCTTATTATTACAATCTATAGATTCATTTTTATTAATAAATAAAAGAACCGTCATTTCGAAGGATTATTAGAATTAAAAAATATATGTTTCTATACCTAACCTAAAGCGAATAAAGGATTTATAACAGGAAATATTTATGCGTAGATCACGTAGAGGATTTGTAACAGGAAACGTACACCCGTGTAACAGGAATTAAACGTTAATTACAAATCAAATAATGTTGAACGGCAACCTTTCTAGGGCGATTTGAATAAAATCAAAGTCGCGCGTTTTTTCCACATCGACCGTACCTAAAATTTTCCAAGATCGAACGTATAAATTTGAATTCGAAAAATCGTAAATATTTCAATTTTACAAGCGAGGTTCAACGGTGGTAATCGAATATACATCGTATAGTTCACATTGACCTACTTGAATAACGCCATGGTGGTTGACGATATTTAATGAAAATGTTTTCTTTAATTATGCGATCGCTTTTTTTAATAAAATCGTCAAATAATTAATTTATTCAAAAATTATCAACAATTAATTCTACAAGGCAGTTAGATCACGCTACGTTCTTATTTTTAAATAGGACATAAGTATTCTCATGATTATTGTAATAACAATGCATTCAATTAGATAAGTTCCTTCTTATATAATTTTTTCATTAAAATCGTATAAATATTTTTTGACAAGCCAACAATATTTATTTTATAGCTTTTAAATAATAGGCGTACCCATTGCGCATAATAACAGGAAATTATTAACGTTAATATCATTGTTTAAAACCGATGCCATTCAAATTAATCGGCCGAAAATTCTTCAAATTAAGACACAGCAACTTTCTCAACATCCAATATCCCAATAACGCAATAACGATCGAGAACTGCCCGATCGTATAATTTATTATAATTAATTAAATAACGAAACATACTATTTCGAATTACAAACAAAAGCGATACCTTAAGGAGTTCAGTCATTCACGAGCGACTTCCTTATTTTGACCGACTGGCATTGATCCACTTCGAAAAATTTACTTTTAGACAACAAAATGTGGAATTTCACAATGCATTACCGCAGTATTAGTTATTGCAGAACGTTGTGTACCTATATAGTCGTTATGTAATAAGGTTTTTATGAGGAACTTGCTATTCAAATTACTTAGAAATTGGATAGTAAAATAACATTGCACTTTTTGTAATTTTAACTGTTATGCGGTAAATTATACTTGCTGAAATGTTTTTTAGTTATTACGGAAATGGTACTGTAAATTAATACGATGTTTTTTTACACTAAATGAATCACATTTAATTAATCTTGAAATTGTGTATACAAAATTTGAAATTATCCATAGGCTCGTTGCGATTGTTGTTGGTATAAAACCCAGAATACATGCACGTTGGATGTGTTGTCTATAGATAAAGCAAGCCGACAAAGAATGCTTGGTGTATACCGAAACCATTAAATTAGAGATTTTTTTTGGCTTTGTGTCAATAGAAACTCAAAACATCAAACGTATGTTGGTCAGGGATGAAAGGAAATATGAGATTTTGAGGGTATCATCGAGTGCGTTTTCAAATAGGGATAAAGAACTCTTTGAATAGCCCCAGCGTATCATATGACATATTATTTTTGTATCTACTTATTTTTCAATACCTTCACCAACAAAAGATTAATATTATCATTACGCATGGATTAAATTCAAGGGTGGAAAGTGGCATTTTTCGAAACTACTTTCGACAAACAATTTATTCTCCTACACTCAAGTAACCGTGAAACTGAGAAACAGTGATTTATGATAGCCATATGATAGGTAAAGATTAGCCCATTACGAATTCATAGCTTCCTGCAATGCAGTTATTGGATTTTGAACGGTAATTTTCGGCGGTATTGTCATCGGGCCAAACACACACGCACACGTAGTTCAACTTCCTTTCAACCGGATCAAAAGAAATTTAAATTTAAAGGGAAAATAAGCACACGATGTGACATTTCAATTTCGCTCTTCTCGTCGTATTCATCCCTTCGCCTTCTTCATAAGAAAAGAAGCGGAAAAGTCTAATCTTAAATGTGACGTTCGCATTAGCAAATAACCGATTTTATGATGAAATTGGAATTACCTTTTTTATACCGCGGCGTATTTGAATATGCGCGGAATATCTAGCAGGTATAATTGAAGCAAATTTCCTCCAACACGTTATATTCAGTCCTGACAAATCCTATTTTAGTTCTAATATGCCGTACATTTATAATTCAGTTCAGTGAAGTATATTTTCCATTTGATATTCGGGAATGCGCATAATAACAAAGTTACGGCAATAAGCCGTTCATAATTCCTCGCCTGTGTGTATTTTATGACTAGCAGTCCGAAGGATTTCAGTTCCAGTAAAATAATCACGTAATTAAATAGGATAACGTTCGAAATTCGCACGAAACTGCCAGAGAACGCGAATGTTATTGTAGAAGTTAAACGATTTTACCTGTTATAGTTGTTATTTTTGAAATATACACTGTTGGAAATTAAATTTCGCATAATAGGGAAATCAATGTTAAATTCTTAGCCGGCTAAAATCCAGTCTACCAGTGTACATTTCAATAGAACGTCGCGATGAATTCTAATAAATTTAATTGTTCTACTGGACCGCACGCCGCGATTTGTAGAGGTACAAAGTTATTTGTGTTAGGTATGAGGTACAAAATTATTTAGAAACTACAATTAATAGGTTTTTTTGGGGATATTTCAAAAAAATGTGTGTATCGGTAGGTACAGTTTTGAAATAGCAACAAATCTTGTTAAAATAAGGAAAAGTAAGGAAAAAATAATTCAATTTTCTGCTAAAATTACACCTCAGCTCAGTAATATGAAATGACATCTGTATGACAGGTTTGGCTATTGTTTAGCAGAAAGCGGTGGACTATTTTTTAGAGTTCTTTTATTTTCTATTTTAAAATAATCTTTAAGTTTATTCTTAAAGTAGTAGTATTCTTTTTATTATTTTCTTAGAATTTACTTTCTTTTTCAAGCCATTGTGGCAAAAAGACATATCTACATAATTCTATTTTATTATTAGTGATATTTTTTCAATAAATTATCGTTTAAAAATTCTCAATTCTTTGTAATCGACTCGACGTTCACCCATCCGAACCCGTTTTGATACTGTCGAAGTGTTCAAACCGTCGAAATTATTTGATTTTTAATCTAACCAAGCCAAATCGCGGTGTGAAGTCCAGTAGAACAATTAAATTTATTAGAATTGATCGCGACGTTCTATTGAAATCTACACTGGTAGATTGGATTTCAGCCGGCTAAGAATTTAACATTGATTTCCCTATTATGCGCGAAAAATTTTCCAACACGGTATAAAATGTTTACCCTTATTTAATCATAAAGTGTAAGTCGAAACTACGGGTCAATACAGGGTAAAAGCTGAAATCTAATTTGGAAATGAGACGAATTCGAGCACTCTCCCTCTATATGGCCGTTAAAGCATTAAAGCTGCAGTTCGCTCCCTTAAACACTCTCAGGAATAAAATAAACTCGTAATCCTGTTTTGCATTAATTAAATATTACGAGCTCGTAAAATTTCTGGCAATAATTTTTTAACGACCCCGCTGCCATCATTCAAAAGTTTAACCAGAAATCTAACATCAAAACGTCAAAAACGGCTTTATCTTCAAAGGAAGCTCTTATTCATTACGCCGCTGTCGTTAAGTATCGAACGTGTATGGTATTCCAGAGAATTACCAGTGGCGTAGCAATTTATCCTACTAGCTGCGCCAATTACATTTAAATGCAGAACAAACTAAAATATGATTATTTTATGTAAATACTTTGAGTACTTTATAGCTCTCCTTGTGTACGCTTTATTACAATACTAGTGAAACAAATTCTTGTTAATGCATTGAGAATGCGATGCAAGAACGTCACTGTGCGTTTTTGCTCAGGACGCATTCGAAGCAATAAAATATGAACGGAACCCATCGGACATTTATGGGACAATAAGTTATCATCTTTTGCTTTGTGCCTTCGCAATCTAAAGGGTATCTTAGGCACCCTTTTAATGATGCTATAAACTTATGCGCGGGTCATCCCTTGAGAAGTTACGCAAACGTTGCCGTAGGGGTTGTTAACGTGTCGCGTAACGGTTTATCTAAATTTTAATTGTGGAGTTTAGGTGGTTTTTCCAATACAATAGTTTAATATTGTACTGATTATACTGAAGGATTATAAGATAAACGTTGTTCTAGAAAAATATGCGTTTTTTTATTTGTTACTGTAAACATTTTCTCGACAAATGGTACGCGATTTTCTCTCGAAGTTTAGCAAAATATTTCTATTTTATGTGGGAATCGCATTCGTTCTTTGAAAAGTTTGCAGGAATAAGCGTGCGAAAAAATATGTCCGAAAACAGCCATCGCGAGCCTTTTTTTACGAGCGACATTTCCATATTTACAACGTCATAAAAATTCTATATTTATCGAAATGTTTCGAACATCGAAAGATTCCCATCATTCTCTCAAACAATACCGCGATGGCACTCAATGATTCACCATCTCTTCTGACCCTTCCGAATCCAGAACTGTATCCAGTTTTTAATAATCCTTGTGTAATAGAAATTTCAAAATATTGCTAAATTTTGTCATTACTAAACCATAATTAAACCTTTTTTTATACAAACTGTTTCAATTTTTTTCTCCA